TCAAAAGGCACACAAATATTTATACTTACACTGTTAGTGCTATGTAATCCTTAATATATTTTTTTTATAATCAACATTGTTATTCTTAATATATGGTAATACATATGTTACTTACTCACTAGGGAATTCAGGATTTAATTTTTGGGGGGGGGCTTCAGACCGAAAGATTTTTTTCATCTACATATAACAATAATTAATTAGAAAAAATAAAAAATAAATTAACTACCTATATCAAATGGTACTTAAGTGGTTCTTAAAGTCCTATTAAATGTAATTACACGAACAAGAATAGTTTTTAATATTCTTTTCTGTAAAACATGGTTACATTTTGCCATTTTATTACATTACCCCCGTAGATCCGCCTGTGTTACTACTTACCACATCAATTCATTACAATTGTCTGTATCGCAAACATTATTTGTCTAACTATTGAATTCCTTCACTCAAACTATTTTATGTTTGTATTGACTGTTATCTCTTATTTATCTTTATTTCATGACTAGCCAATAGTCACGATTTGTTTAACTATAAGAAACATCGTAAATCTTGTATCAATCTTGAATATTTTATTTGTCAAATTATTTGCATTCTACAAACAAAAATGTCACCCTCACTGAAATTGTAAATTTTGTTATACAAATCGGTACTAAATATTGGCATAGATTTCAACAAGATATTCCATTGGTGTCGGGCTAGGAACATAGAACTTCCGGTCCCTGCACTCTTTCGAGCTTTGTATCTCCGGTTCCTGAGGGGTACAATTTCTAATTTTTGAGGTACAAATTAGATACTAAATATTGGCACAGGTTTCAACTCAAAATTCCGTAGGTGCCGGGCCAGAGACATGGTCCTATATCTCCGGTTCCTGAGGGGTACTAATTATAATTTTTGGTGTAAAAATTAGTACAAATTATGTACTAAATATTGGCATAAGTTTCAACTCGAAAATCCATTGGTGTCGGCCAGGGAGATGGAACTTCAGGTCCCGGAACTCTTTCGAGCTTTATATCTCCGGTTCCTGAGGGGTACAAATTCTAATTTTTGGTGTACAAATTAATACAAATTAGGTACTAAATATTGGCATAGGTTTAGGTATAGTTGGTATAGGTGCCGGGCCACCATGTCCCTGGCCCGGCACTTTAACGAGCGTTATATCTCTGGTTCCTGAGGGGTACAAATTCTAATTTTTGGTGTACAAATTAATACAAATTAGGTACTAAATATTGGCATAGGTTTAGGTATAGTTGGTATAGGTGCCGGGCCACCATGTCCCTGGCCCGCCACTTTAACGAGCGTTATATCTCTGGTTCCTGAGGGGTACAAATTCTAATTTGTATAATAACTTTTTGAATTAAATTGATATCAGGGTCGACTATTATGTTCTGGGGGGCCCTTTTTATGAAAATGATATCGAATTGGGGATTGGGCACCCAGGGCCTTGACTTTTTTTAACTTTTTGAATTAAATCGATATCAGTGTCGACTATTATGTTTTGGGGGGCGCTTTTTATGAAAATGATATCGAATTTGAGATTGTGCACCCCGGGCCTCGACTTTTTTTAACTTTTTGAATTAAATCGATATTGGTGTCGACTATTACGTTTTGGGAGGCGCTTTTTATGAAAATGATATCGAATTTGAGATTGGGCCCCCCGTGCCCCGACTTTTTTTAACTTTTTGAATTAAATCGATATCAGGGTCGACTATTAGGTTTTTGGGGCTGCTTTTTATGAAAATGATATCGAATTTGAGATTGGGCTACACGAGTCTGGAATTTTATTAACTTTTTGGATTAAATCGATATCAGGGTTTTTTAAAGTTAAAAAAACGTCGGAGCCCGGGGGACCCAATAAAATTCCAGACTCGTGTAGCCCAATCTCAAATTCGATATCATTTTCATAAAAAGCGGCCCCCAAAACATAATAGTCGACCCTGATATCAATTTAATTCAAAAAGTTAAAAAAAGTCGGGGCACGGGGAGCCCAATCTCGAATTCGATATCATTTTCATAAATAGCGTCCCCCAAAACCTAATAGTCAACCCTGATATCAATTTAATCCAAAAAGATAAAAAAAAGTCGAGGCCCGGGGAGCACAATCTCAAATTCGATATCATTTTCATAAAAAGCGCCCCCCCCCAGAACATAATAGTCGACCCTGATATCAGTTTAATCCAAAAAGATAAAAAAAGTCGAGACCGGGGGCACATCTCAAATTCGATATCATTTTCATGAAAAGCGTCCCCCAAAACCTAATAGTCAACCCTGATATCAATTTAATCCAAAAAGATAAAAAAAAGTCGAGGCCCGGAGGGCCCAATCTCAAATTCGATATCATTTTCATAGAAAGCGCCCCCCACCAGAACATAAAAGTCGACCCTGATATCAATTTAATTCAAAAAGTTAAAAAAAGTCGGGGAACGGGGGGGTCCAATCTCGAATTCGATATCATTTTCATAAATAGCGTCCCCCAAAACCTAATAGTCGACCCTGATATCAATTTAATCCAAAAAGATAAAAAAAGTCGAGACCCGGGGGGCCCAATCCCAAATTCGATATCATTTTCATGAAAAGCGCCACACGATATAGATTGGGCCACACGAGTCTGGAATTTTATTAACTTTTTGGATTAAATCGATATCCGGGTTTTTTAAAGTTAAAAAACGTCGGGGCCCGGGGGGCCCAATCTCAAATTCGATATCATTTTCATGAAAAGGCCCCCTCAGAACATAATAGTCGACCCTGATATCGATTTAATTGAAAAAGTTAAAAATAGTCGGGACCCGGGGGGCCCAATCTAAAATTCGATATCATTTTCAAAAAGCATCCCCCAAAACCTAAAAGTCGAACCTGATATTGATTTATCCAAAAAGATAAAAAAAAGTCGAGGCCCGGGGAGCACAATCTCAAATTCGATATCATTTTCATAAAAAGCGCCCCCCCAGAACATAATAGTCGACCCTGATATCAGTTTAATCCAAAAAGATAAAAAAAGTCGAGACCCGGGGGGCACAATCTCAAATTCGATATCATTTTCATGAAAACGTCCCCAAAACCTAATAGTCAACCCTGATATCAATTTAATCCAAAAAGATAAAAAAAAGTCGAGGCCCGGGGAGCACAATCTCAAATTCGATATCATTTTCATGAAAAGCGCCACACGATATAGATTGGGCCACACGAGTCTGGAATTTTATTAACTTTTTGGATTAAATCGATATCAGGGTTTTTTAAAGTTAAAAAAACGTCGGGGCCCGGGGGGCCCAATCTCAAATTCGATATCATTTTCATGAAAAGCGCCCCCTCAGAACATAATAGTCGACCCTGATATCGATTTAATTGAAAAAGTTAAAAATAGTCGGGACCCGGGGGGCCCAATCTCAAATTCGATATCATTTTCATAAAAAGCATCCCCCAAAACCTAAAAGTCGAACCTGATATTGATTTAATCCAAAAAGATAAAAAAAAGTCGAGGCCCGGGGAGCACAATCTCAAATTCGATATCATTTTCATAAAAAGCGCCCCCCCCAGAACATAATAGTCGACCCTGATATCAGTTTAATCCAAAAAGATAAAAAAAGTCGAGACCCGGGGGGCACAATCTCAAATTCGATATCATTTTCATGAAAAGCGTCCCCCAAAACCTAATAGTCAACCCTGATATCAATTTAATCCAAAAAGATAAAAAAAAGTCGAGGCCCGGGGAGCACAATCTCAAATTCGATATCATTTTCATGAAAAGCGCCACACGATATAGATTGGGCCACACGAGTCTGGAATTTTATTAACTTTTTGGATTAAATCGATATCAGGGTTTTTTAAAGTTAAAAAAACGTCGGGGCCCGGGGGGCCCAATCTCAAATTCGATATCATTTTCATGAAAAGCGCCCCCTCAGAACATAATAGTCGACCCTGATATCGATTTAATTGAAAAAGTTAAAAATAGTCGGGACCCGGGGGGCCCAATCTCAAATTCGATATCATTTTCATAAAAAGCATCCCCCAAAACCTAAAAGTCGAACCTGATATTGATTTAATCCAAAAAGATAAAAAAAATTCGAGGCCCGGGGCCCCAATCTCGAATTCGATATTACTTTCATAAAAAGCGTCCCCCAAAACCTAATAGTCGATCCTGATATCGATTTAATCCAAAAAGATAAAAAAAGTCGAGGCCCGGGGGGGCCCAATCCCAAATTCGATATCATTTTCATAAAAAACGCCCTCCAAAATATACTAATCGGCCCTAATATCGATTTAATGCAAAAATTTAAAAAAAGTCGGGGCCCGGGGGCACTATCTCAAATCCGACAGCATTATCATAAAAGTCAAGTGGTGTAAAAAAAAAAAAAAAATGGTCTCCAAAGTTGATTAAATCCAAAATATTTTAATAATTCTTTATTTTATCGATTTACATTAATATCGATGCTATTTTTAAAAACTATACCCCCATAAGATAACAATAGACTTAAACATGGAAGAAATATTAAATATTCTACTCCTGTAATTTTTATAATGAAATACTCGATTACTTTGAAAAGTACTCAGAGTAAAATATTCCCGAGTAGATTTGAAAATAGAAAGTACTCACGAGGACAGCTGATTACTTTTTGTACTCGTCAATCATGAGGTCGAGTAGTGATTGAAGTACTCGATACCCGAACCGGGCGAGTATTTGAGTAAATTACTCTGTAATTGTACTTTTTACTCAGAGTACAATTTTGCCCATCTCTATGTCACAGTGACTGAATCACACCTCCAGCCGTATGACCACATCACTAGTAGTTTTACTGATCTTGGTTTTAACTACAACCTCTTCTTATCAAATGTTAAAAAACAGTTAAAATAGAGCTTAGCATAGATTACAGTAATCCTCAGATTTTTTTTGAGTGATAATTACGTCAGTATCGCAACTGATAACCTAAATGTTATCAGGTTGTAAACAATAGTTATCTGTTGAATGTTGACATCAGAATCTCTAGCAACAGCTCAAACTTTAATCAAAAATGAATAAAGAGCACCCTAGAATACTTATTCCAGAGTTATTAAAGCAATTTTATAATCTTGGTTGGGTCACAGGCACTGGTGGAGGAATCAGTATCAAATATGGGTAATATATTTATTTATTTTTATATCACTTATTATTCTAAAATCTTCAATTGATAAAAACCTTACTAATACTATCTGACTTCCACACAGACCACGTATATATATTGCACCTTCTGGAGTTCAAAAAGAAAGGATAGAGGCTGATGATCTTTTTGTACAAGATATAGATGGAAATGATTTAGAAATTCCTAGTTCTAGTAAGAAATTGAAAAAAAGCCAATGCACTCCACTTTTTATGTGTGCCTACAGAGGTTTGTTTCTTTGTAAATCAGTTAATATCATCTAATAGTTAATTATAATAAAACTAATAAATAAAGATTAGCCAGAGGTGCTGGAGCAGTTATACATACACATTCAAAAGCTGCTGTCATGGCTTCTTTACTATATACTGGAAAGGAATTTGCTATCACGCACATTGAAATGATAAAAGTATATTTCTTAAAATTTTACTTTAAACCATACCTTTGTTGATGAATTGAATAATTAACAGAATTAAATTACTTAGGGAATAAAAAATCAGGATTTAAAAAGATGCTATAATTACAATGAAAAATTAATTGTTCCAATAATTGAAAACACCCCATTTGAAGAAGATCTTACTGAAAGTCTAGCCAAGGCAATCGCTGAATATCCTGCAACAACTGCTGTGCTTGTAAGAAGACATGGTGTTTATGTATGGGGAGATACATGGGAAAGTGCTAAAACTCAGTAAGTAGTGTTAGTTTCCTCTAAAATTTGATAGCGCTTCACAAGTGTCACTCCAACATGGTGTCAGGACCTTAAGGAAGTCGGCCATCTCTGTTTCTTTTTGGAAACACTTACAGGGTGACGACCGACCTGGAAAAGTTAGGGAATTATCAAAAAGTCAGGAAAAAATTGTTAAAAGTTAAGGAATTTTTTTAGTTCAAAAAGATTTTTTTCAAATTGGAATTAATATACAGTGGTGTCGTTTATAACGACCCTAAAGTCTGGTATACTTTGTTGTTATAAACGTGTAATTGTTATAATGATGATGCCTGGTGGTTCAGAAGTGGAAATAATCCTTAAAATGAATGTGTTCCAATCACACTTTCTGTACTATATTATATCTCCGTAACATCTAGAATCCTTAACATCCCTAGAATCTAGTCCAATAACTATTTTCTCAAGTTTCCCCCTATTTAACCCTAAAAAACATAATTTAATGAGTGTGTTTTACATTGGTTTTACAAATAATGAACGGTATATATTGATATTTTGAATAAATATTTTCAGGTCTTGATAAGCGAGAAGTTATTGATTTTGTCTTTGAAATTTCTCACTTATGGACAAATAAATATTATTATTAAGATTAAATTTGGTACAGTCTTACAGTTCATTGGTTTTCATTTCTATAACTATGTAAATAAAAATCTAAGTATAAACGCAAAATAAACTACTAGCTCCACTAAGCTCCATGCTGGGACTTATTTCATTCGATAGTACATTTCAAAACATAAATTAAATTTAAAAAATGCTTGCTGATATTCTCTTATTTAAAGGTACGATTGCTTTTTCCGGGTACACATTTCATGTGAAGTTAAGAAATCGTTAGCTGAGAAATTCAATCAATCACCATTTCACCTTAATTAACATTATTTATGTACTTTTTGCTTTCACTTAAGTATATATGTAATATATAGTAAGGGTAAGTATTGCGATCGTGATAATTTTTGATTCTGAGTTTTCAACGGAAATACATGTTTTGAGGTCCCCTGAGTCCCTTATTCTTACCAGAATCTAAAAACTCAGTTCCATCCCGGGACTCCAGATGATCTCAATGACCATTTCCTATCCTTCACTCACGATTCTTCTTCTACTTTCGATATTAAACATCAAAATTTCAATCCTGAAGACTTCATTTTCTCCCATGTGACCTATGATGAATTACTTTCCACTATGCTAAAATCCCACACTAATGATTATGGTTCTGATAATACCCCAGTAAAAATAATAAAATCCAGCCTTCCTGCTCTTATTCCTGTTCTTTACCATATCTACAACTTTTCAGTGCAAAACTTTATATTCCCATCCTCCTGGAAAACTGCCCTAGTCCGACCTTTGAATAAAATTCCCAACCCTACCTCACTGCACGATTTCTGTCCTATTTCTCTCCTATCCAACCTCTCAAAGCCGTTAAAACACCTTGTTCAAAATCAACTCTCCAACTTCCTAGAAGAACGTTCCCTTATCAACCCATTCCAATCTGGCTTTTGACCTGGTTACTCAACGCAATCCGCTCTTCTTAAAATAACCCATGACCTCCAAAACTCCATCAAACACCAAAACCTTACCATCCTCATCATTCTAGATTTTTCCAAAGCGTTCGACACAGTTGACCATAACATCCTCCTTACGAAATTGCACAATCTTCCTCTATCCAACAGTGCCCTGCGTTGGTTCAAATCGGTCCCAGTATGTAGAGGTCCCAGGCCAGCCTTCATCTAAGACCCTTCCTCTCTCCTGTGGTGTCCCTCAAGGTTCCTCTCTATCTCCTACTCTGTTTGCTATTTACATTAATGACCTCCCCCTCATGATCCATCACTCCCAATACATATCTATGCAGATGATTTCCAAATGTACCCTTCCTTCCCGCTCTCCGACCTATTATCTGCCACATAGAAACTACAAGAAGACTTGGATAGTATTTGTGACTGCATGAGAACTAACAAGTTGAAGTTGAATACGGGAAAGACGAAGGCAATCTTAATAGGCTCCAATCACCTCCTTAAAACTGTCCCTAATATTCCAACTCCTAAAATTTGATGGCATGATAAGAGTGGCAAACAAATTATAAATAATAATTTTGTGAAAACTAATAATATTAAACATAAATCACATGTTTTCAATGAAATAAAATGGAATTTACTGACTAAATGTAAACTTTTAAAATATTTTTAAGTTTGGAAAAGTATTTAAAATCCACCTAATCAAGGCAATGACATTGTTAAAAAATTTAGTGCGCGCAACACACAACTTTCACTTACCGATCTACTATGAATAAAAATTATTTTCTGGCAATGCATGGAAACAAATTAGAGACCATATCTTTCCTCCTAGTTGTCCAATCTTAACGATTTTTTTTTTTTGTTTTTTTTAGGAAATTCCATAAACTTTTAAAAAACAATATACAATATCCTCAAAAAAGTGTATACTTTTTGAGTTATTCGGAATTTAATTTTACCATCTCTCGTAACTTTTTATCCAGCTTCTTTTCGTTGAAGTATGTTATATAGATAAATTTAAAGGGTGTCAAGAAAATGACTTTAAAATGGTTTTGATGGTGGGATAAAACTTAATGGGATTATCATGTAGGAACAGGGTTGGAAAGTTAGGAACAGTTTTGAGGAGATGATTGGAGCCTATTAGGATTGCCTTGGTCTTTTCCGCATTCAACTTCAGCTTGTTAGCTCCTGTCCAGTCATATATTCTATTTAAATCTTCTTGAAGCTTTTTTGTGGTGGCTAATAGGTCAAAAGGGGGGAAGGACAGGTATATTTGGAAATCGTCGGCATAGATGTGGTATTGGGAGTGATGGATCAGGAGGAGAAGGTCATTAATGTAAATAGCAAACAGAGTAGGAGATAAAGAGGAATCCTGAGGGACACCACAGAGAGGAAGTGTCTTTGATGGAGGTTGATCTGGGACGATTACATATTGGGATTGATCGGAAAGAAAGGATTTGAACCAACGCAGGACACTGTTGGATAGAGGAAGATTTTGCAATTTGGTAACAAGGATGTTATGGTCAACTGTATCAAACGCTTTGGAAATATCTGGAAGGATGAGGATAGTAAGATTTTGGTGTTCAATGGAGTTTTGGAGGTCCTGGGTTATTTTAAGGAAGGCAGATAGCATTGAATAGCCCGTTCGAAAGCCAGATTGGAATGATTGATGAGGGAACGTTCTTCTAGGAAGTTGGAAAGTTGGTTTTGGACAAGGCGTTCCAGTGGTTTTGAGAGGTTGGAAAGAAGAGAAATAGGACAGAAGACGTTCTGCAAGGAAGGATTAGAAGTTTTATTCAAAGGTCGGACTAGTGCAGTTTTCCAGGAAGAGGGGATATATGGAGTTTTGCAATGAAAAGTTGTAGATATGATAAAGTACTGGAATAAGGGTAGGAACGCTGGATTTTATAAGTTTTACTGGAATATTGTCAGGACCATAATCATTCGTGTGGGATTTTAGGATAGTGGAAAGTACTTCGTCGTAGGACACATGGGAAAAAAAGAAGTTTTCAGGATTGAAATTGTGGTGTTCAATATCATGAGTAGGAGAAGGATTAGAAGCAAACGATAAGAAATGGTCATTAAGATCATCTGGAGTCACAGGGAGGGAAATGAGGTCTAGCAGTCTACATCATTATGAATTCATTACCAGCAGGTTATCTACTGCTTCCTGCAATGCCTGATACAACGCCCTGATGAAGATCTGGAAGGTGGATCGAAATGTCAGCGAAACAATTAAAATACTGTTTTTTAAAAATTTAGTGTTTATTTAACCACACCCCCTGACCAACTCCTCTCAAAATAATGTATGCCTAATCTGAACTACATATAATGAATAGTTGATGGGTTGTTTAGTAAAACTCATATATCACATTCTGGCCATGTTAGGCTATTATAAAATGTTTTAAATTGCATTTTAAACTGAGCTAAAGCTAACAAATCACAAATGCTATTAAAATACCAAAAGTCCAATTTATTATATCACCGGTTGATTATGGATTGTGCGATTTGTTGATTATGGATTGTTATTTTCCATTGCAAAGTTTATTAAAACGGAATTAAGAGAATTGCAGTGTCTGTCATAGACAGGTCAAAAGTTGTCGCACTAATTGTAAGTGGATTCTGTTGGAATATCGCAAAAAGAAAAATTATCAAACTATTCACTAATTTAATTTTCTAAAAGGTTACATGATGATTTTTCAGAATAAACGGACGAAAGATATCTAAATATTTAAATATATTATAAGATCTAGAGTTATTAAACTACAGTAAATATATTTAGGGTTATAAACGAATATGAAATATTTTTGTATTTCACTTCTTTTTTCACACAAGTACAATGAAATGTTAGTGGGATATCACAAAGGGAAGATCTATGGAATTATTCACTAATTTAGTTTTCTAAAAAGTTATATGACAATATTTTGGAATAAACTTCAATACCTAATTATTTAGAGAGAAATACTTTGTTAAAAGTAATGCTGCCCTACTACATAGGGTTGCTTCGTACACAGCATACTTATCAATCCATACGGACATTAATTTTATATTATATTTTTCTTTTTTTTTTCTCCCCCTTCATAACAATACTCTTACAAATTATCAACAATAAACCATATTAAACAATAGACATAGCATAATAAACACTTTCCCCCAAAAAAAAATCCTTTTTTCTCTTTAAATTCTCAAATGCCAGGAACGCAATATAACATCGCACACATATATAACACAGCAATTCCTTGAATGTAGCCAAAAAGATAAGACGATTGAGGGCCAATTTAAAATTGAATAAATAATTACTAAACTGCAGTAAATGTATTTAATATTATAAACACATGATTTATACATCCATGAAATGATTTTATATTTTATTTCTTCTTTCACACAAGTACACTGAAATAGTTTTTTTAACAATGCCATTAACTTGCTTAGGTGGATTTTAAATGCTTTCTAAAGACGTAAAAAGATTTTTTAAAGTTTTCATTTTGTCAGTAAATTCCATTTAATTTCCTTGATGTTAATGCTTAAAAGAATGTGATTTACGTTGAATATTATCAGTTTTCAAAAATTGTTACTTATAAGTTTTTTGCCGCTCTCCGTTACCTTCTACAACTTCCTATATTAGATATTGTTTTTCTAAAATTCACCGCTCTCCAACGATATATTATAAGTATACTTCTGACTTGTATTTCCAGAGATTTATTTTCAAACTGTATAAGCATTTATATTTTTTTTTTGCTTTATTCAATTATCAGATTCTTTCAAAAGTTATATTAAGCATTTTTTCGCTAAATATTTTTTGCTAATTATTTAACAATGGTATATTATTTGCAAACAATTATACATCTAAAGTAAAATTATCTTCCAAGTTACAAAGAAAAATAAATAAAAGGTGATTCCAATTAATGGACTAAACTTTTCTTTATAATCATTAGTAATATGCTAAAAAAATTAGCATTACCTTATTAACACATTCAAAATTCAAAAACTGAAACAAAGGATATAACCATTGCAGCAGAACGTATTAAAAAAAAACTAGAGACCATATCTTATCTCCTAATTGTCCGATTTTAACGATTTTTTTTGTTTTTTTAGGGGTGGTTTTAGGCTATTCCATAAACTTTTAGAAGATGTATATGAACATTGGGCATTTAAGCCCTGTAAAGTGACATAAATGGGGATAAGACCTAATTGATATTAAATACCACTTAATTATACAATGATACACGGAGTTTAATCAAAATCGTTAAGAGCCGTTTTTGAGAAAACTGTGAAAATGTGTTTCAGCGTTGATATAAAGTGGCACTTCTGGGTAGCCGATTTTAAGGAAAAAGTTGCCATCACAACTAAGGCATATAGCTATCTTAAATACGTGATATCAGTTTCGTAGGACTTTTCGTTTTTGAGCTAGACTGCTAACATACAAACACACAGACCATTTTTGGGACTTGGTCATTTCGACTCAGGGTACCTCAAAACGTATAAATCCGTTGAAAACTCAGATTCAAAAATTTTCTCGATCGCAATACTTACACTTTCTATATATTACGTACCTCTCGTAGTATGATCACTCACCTAAAACCTGTCCGACATGGGTAGCCCTATCGGCATAGCTCTCAGGGTCCTCATGATACTCAACTCTCCCCACCACGTTAAGGTGGAAGTACCCTTGGGGAGGATCGTCCCCTTAATATCATCCAAACTGCTCCAGCATTTGACCACCTTTTAGCAGCATCTTGAAATATTCTGTTCATCCATCTACTATATATTTGTTTAGCCATATAATGGATATTGATCCTTGTTTTTAGCCATATAATGGATATTGATCCTTGTTTTTTTTTTCCGTGATTTTGACATTTCCTTTCTTGTACCCTTAATGTATTATTCCAATTTTTGGGTTCAATTTCATGTTTTTCCTCATTTTAAGACCAAATACTAACAATCAGTTCCGGTTACTTAGAAGAAATTATAGCTTCGCCCTTTCCATTTTTCTTTGTGCAGAGAGAATAATGCATTCAATATTAAAAGTTCCTATTTTTTATGATATGGTCCAACTTCCCAACAAAATAAAGGAAATAAAAATTAATTTTTTTATTAGTGATATAAGAGTTTTACCAAGCAACCCATCAACTATTCATTATATGTAGTTCAGATTAGGTATAAATTATGTTGGTTTATAAAACAGGTATTAATATTACTAATTTCTGGGGAAGTATATACTATTTAAATTAGTTCTAAGAATCGGTAAATATATAATTCAAAGTGGTAAATTGCAAACGTTAAATAAATAAGTGAAAGTAAAAATTATATATGTTTAAAGTATTTTTGAATTAAGTTTTATTATTATTTTTACAATAGAGGCCTTCCTAAACTACCTCCATGTGGAATAAAGGAAGTTAAATTTTTAAAAATAAAATAAAATAAAATAATAAATTTAAAAAAAAATTGTTTAATTTTTTTTGACAATTAAATTATTGCATTAATCTTTGTTCCTTAATACAATAACGTTATTATAACACTATAACTAAGCCATTTATGAGTACTGAATGGTGTGGTAGAGGCCTGTATGCTAGTACCGCTTTTCTGCCACTTCAAATATTGTAAAAATTAATCTGTGTTTTAGAAAGAGAAATATATTCTCCAGATGTTTTATTTCAGCATGTTTTGCTTTATTGTTGGCCGTTTAATTACAAACGATGCTTGATTTTAAACTTGAAAATTTTTTTTGTTAAAAGAATTGACTTTACAGTTGTTTTTTATTGCTTGAACCAATTATTTTTTAAATATTTTTTCATGTTTCATTATTCTCTGACTATCCAGCTTTAATAAAAGACCAACTATGACGAAATTAAGCCAAATGCTGATTCTCAGTGACCGAAAAACTAACTAAAGTCAAAGTCATCAGTCTGCCATGTTTGGACGCCTTTTTGGGGCAGTGCATTCACTTTTTTTTTGTGGGAACAATGTCTTTTTGGGTCTGTACCATGGACTATAACATCATTTGTTTTATTCTATAGGTTTACTAATCTTATAGGTTGCTTAAGTTCTTCATTGTCAAATTTCTTATAGAGTACTTTTATTGGAATAGTTTTCTTGTTTTATCATGATTTTTTTTTTTACTTCTTTCTTACCTCTCCTCGGGATTTGCCTGGGAAGAGGAGTGAGGGAGGTCGGGGAATTTAAAATCCCCTCTGGCACCGGAACGCGAACTCGTACTTTTTTTTTTTGATCTCTCAGAACTTCATATATCTGGTTGCCAGGCAATTTGCGGTGCTGTGCACATGCTCTAGCCCATTTGGCCACCCCGCCGAAGGAATGGCATTTAGAAGTGAGAATAATACTATCTATAAGACATAATATTATATTCATATAATCAGAGGTGCCCATCCTCCCCAAGGTCAATGGTGCAAGAATTTACCTGCCCCCCTCCTTCCAAGATATTTTGTTGCTTATCTTTCCTTAAAAACAGAAGAAGCTAAGGCAGAATTAGAAAAATCATAGATCAAGCACAGTTACACTTGCTGTTCTATGTTCCCTCCTTGTCCCTTAGTCCGAAAATTTGTAACTGGTAAATTAAAATATACTGTATTGGGTTTAAAATGTAATAAAACTCTTCAAATTCAAAAGCCCATTAATATTATTTTTGCATTTGGTAGAGAATTTTATGCTTTTTTTCATTAATATATAGTTGCATTGGGGTATTTGGTGAGAGATTTTAGTTACAGGTAGTTTACATATTTTTATCACTGTTTTAAAAATTTATGTTTAAGATTTTTTTTATACATGAAGAAAGATTATAATGTTAAAATTTATGATATCAACAGAATCTGTATTAAATTTATGATGAATAAATAAATTTTGAAAACTCTTGGTCAATAAATATTGGTTTTACAAATGAAAACCAAACAGGCATATGCTGGTTTTGGAAAAAAAAAAAAAAAAAAATATTTCAAAGGAGTGAGAACTTATAGTATGTTTACTTCCTTACTAGTTCAAACAATTTTCTATAGTAAAAAATTGTGTCCCCGCCATTTCCTTCTATAATAATTCATTGATTGGACTACTTGACCATCCCGCCTCACAGTTGGAATCGTATGGATAATTATTACTCTGTTTGTGCCAATAAAAACAATTAAAGTGCTTATGCAGAACCGTATTATAAGAATTGCCGGCAGCTCACTTTATTTTATAATAGAAAAAAGTGTCAAGTATTAACTTTTATATCCTCTCACTGTATGAAAATAAAGGCGATACAAATAAATTACTTAAAGTTTAGTTTTCTAAAATAAAAATCCTAATAAAGTTTGAAAAATTTTCCTCTTGAACATTATATTTGTTTTTTAAAAGATTAAACAGACTTCTTTTACTCCAATCTTTCAATGTTCACTAATGTATAATAAATGAATTAATTATAAACTATATATATAGTTTATAGTAATAAGTTATGAACTATACATTTTTAACATTTGTGTCCCCTTTGATATTGGTCAGGGAAAACTATCATTAAATAGGGAAAAGTGAGAGAATTTTATTTTGACAGTTTGGTAGCCATCCCGATGTAGCTATTTTTAAAATCTATCGATATTGGCTAATAAACTGCCATATTGGAATGACACTTACGAAGATTTTCCTTAAATTTTAGAAATCACATAAACAATCCCTTAAATTTTAGGGATCACATAAACAAATGATAATTTTTTATAGGTCTGTTGTTTGAAGTAAATTGAAATTCTAATAATGTTTTAAGAAGAGTAAAAATTGTTTTCAATTTTAAAATGCGCTAATATGATTATTATTACTTATTTTGCCTTTTTATTCAAAATGACCTGGTTTGTACTCATTATCAATCAAGTCAGTGGGTTCATTATCAATTTTTTGTTTCATTTTTAGTAAGAAAACAATATTTTGTTTGTAGGTGTGAGTGTTATGATTATTTGTTTGACATAGCAGTTAAGATGAAGCTCCATGGTCTTGATCCAACTGTTGGAGAACCTGAAGAGAATGGTTCTATGCTGTAATAAATGATTTACTTCATTACCCTTTGGTTTATATTTTCAAATTGTTTTGAAGCTGAAAAAATAATTTTTGGACATCTTTAATACAAACATATTCTAGTTTTGATACCTAATTCTACATGCATTCATATTACTTAAAATTTGTTCTTTCATGTGTATTAGATTTTAAATGATTCATAGCACCAATAGTTATAGTAACGACCCGTTACTCTTAATAATATTGTATTATAGTTACTAAATATATTTTAAAGTAATTTATTTACAATAAAATAATGTTAAGTAGTCTGTACACTGAATTACCACTGGAAATAAATTTTTAAAAAAGTGAGTTTTTATATATATTTTATTGTTTTGCCCATAATTAATTTTCCCCAAGACGATAAGTTATTATTTATTCTCTTTGTATAACCTATCCTAATTAAAGAGTATATTACATCCACTGTAAATCGCCGAGCGGTCATTCTGCTGAACTAGGAACTATTTTTATATGAACAGTAGACAACCTGAGCATGCAATAACTGGAGGCTGCCACTTAGCCAAATCAAGTTTAACATAAACCAAGTTTTGAAAGATTTCACTTTCTAATAGGAGTTTTCTAAAAATTTCTTGTAACTCGATTTAAGTTTCTTAACCATCAGCCTAAACCATTTTTACCCCAGAAAAATTTACATATTGATTTTCTAGTATATAAGTAGTTCTTCAGCTAAGCACTTATACAACTTATACTTCAATAAGCACTTATAAATAATCTTCATGCTATTGTCAGTCTTGTTTTACTACTAAAACTTATCTCAACATTTTGGGTATCACACACCCCAGTGTATGTAATCTTCCTGGCTCCTTACATTCTTTATTTTAAAACACTTTAGAAAGGTTTTGCTTCTTTCTTATTGCTTGAGGTTTGATGGTAAACTAAGCAGATAAGTGATAAGCAAATGATATAGTGGCACAGATAGACCAATAAAGATTTAGGGAAAATGCTTATAAAACTAATATTATACTCCTTTTATCAATGTTATAGCCAAAATGATTAAAATGTGATTAAAACAAACCAAGAAATGAAAATATATATAAATGTATTAATGGTTAAAAACATTATGAAACACTTTTCAAAAAGCATTAAAGTAATAACTAGCAATTTGTAACCAAATAAAAACAGCAATACGTTATTGATTATATAAAAGATAAATAATTAGCAATATAAAAAAAAATGAAATGAATAAGAACTAGGTAGTAATAGTTTTATAATGATATATAACTTTTTTAATAAGAAATAGTAGGTATAAAAATGTATTAAAAACATGCACATTAATATTCGAAAAGGTAATGTGAGATACTTTTTAAAAAGTAAATTTTTTTTTATTTATTCATGATATTTACAACAGTATTAATGAATAAAATACATTTAGTTAATTTTATAACAGAAAATAATAACATGAAATCATTTGTTGAGAAACTACCCACTGGTAGCACTCTAAAAACAAAATGTATTTACAATAAGAGATCTCGAGGCCATCTTCTTTTCAGACGCCTCGGAGGGTTATCAGGAATAGAAGAGGAAACAAGGTTATAGACAAGAGGATTCGGATGGTTTTGAAGTTTATTATGGATGGATTGGGCCAAATCGGAAACATAAGGAACATTAAGGTCATTATGGATTATTTTATTGGTGACAAAGTAAGGAGCATTGAGGATTTTCCGAAGGATTTTGGATTGTAAGGATTGGATATGAGAGGAATTCAATGGCTTAGTGGAGCTCCAAAAATCAACTCCGTAAGTCCAAATAGGTCTTATTGTAGTCATGTATATGAGTCTTTTGTAATTAACTGGAAGCTTGGAGCGTTTGTCTAGTAAGTGTTGGAGTAGTCGGAAACGTCGAGCGGTTTCTTGTCTTTTCAGTCTGGTATGAGAATTCCAAGTTAGACGTTTGTCCAAGTGAAGTCCAAGGTATCAGATTTGTTCAGCAGGGATAAGTGGGGTATTATTAAAGGATACTGTGGAACGTGAGGTCATAGGTTTAAGTCAAAGGGTAAAGGTGATTTGATGGGATTTATTTAAATTAATTTTAATCCTCCAGTTTTGACACCATTCTTCAAGGCTTGTGATGTGTAACTGAAGAGTTTGGGATGCAATGGTTGGGTCATTATTAACGGATAGGACACATGTATCATCGGCATACGTGGTAATAACTGTGTTAGGATGGGTTGGGATGTCAACTGTAAAACTGTGTAAAGGATAGGACCTAGGATACTACCTTGAGGAACACCAGCAGACTGGGAAAAAGGGGATGAATAAGTATTATTGTGATTTACTTTGAAATATCTATCAGTTAGATAGGAACGGATAATGAGGAAGTATGTAGGATGTAGGAACATATGGAGTTTGTAAAGTAGTCCCGGGTGTCAGACTCGATCAAAAGACTGTTCTAAATCGAGAAAAACTCCCGTGCAGTACGTTCCGCGCTCTAATGCAGAGGAGACAACATCCACCACACGATGGCATTGCTGGATAGTGGAATGGGATCTGCGGAATCCAAACTGGTGTTCTGGGATTATGTGATTAGAATCTACGATTGGGTACAGGCGTTTTAGGATGAGTTTTTCCAGGACTTTGCCCATGATGGGTAAAAGAGAGATAGGACGGTAAAAAGTAAAATGTAGATTACCATTTATGTAATTAAATTAAATGAAAAAAAATTACTATCTAGGACTGATGTCCCTTAATTAAATTGAATATTAACAAAATAATGGGTAATTAAAAATATAAATACAAGAGAGAAAGGAAAATGTAACTATGTATGTATATATATGTGTGTCTATGTACGTATCTATATATATATATATATATATATTATATATATATATATATAGACATATATATTTGTATATATGTCCTGTCTGAGATTCCTCTCCCCCACCCCGGTATGTGAGGCCCGTCAGCCTACTGGAGGCAACTCACACCGACCATGTGCAGGATTGATGACCCTACACCATACTTTAAATCGGTAATCAGGATGTGGTCTAGGAGACCACACTCATGGTCAAAGATCTTCATGGTCTGTAGCACCAAAAAAAAAAAAAAAAATGTATAAATATATATATATATATACACAGGGTGTCCCGTAAGTAGAGGAAAATATTTATGAGGTTGGTAGTGGACATCAAGATTTAGAAAAAAGTTCATATAAACAATTGCCCAATTTTCAGCAGAAAAGTAGGAAATGATAACTTAAAAAATATTTGATTTAAGTAATTAAACATTGCTTCATAGTAAATAAAATAAAGTAAAGTTTTGCCGTTGTTAAAACTATTTAAAGAGGACTTTTAAGTGGCTAAATACAGCTATATTCCGTTTAAAAAAAAAACTGATTGAAGTTAAAAGTCTTCCTTCAAATGTAAACAAATAATAATTTTTTTATAGTTCTTTTGTATGAATTGACCTGACACATAGGTGAATCGGACCTCCCAAAAAAAAAAGGATGAATCTTTTAAGTTAAATTGGACGGAAAAAGTTTTTTTTTAATTATATTTAATTTTGAATTGTATATGTAAATTGTAAATGAAATGAAAAATAATTCTATTATACTGTCCCATTTGAACAAATTATAAATAAAACAAGACAGTGTGGCCATTCATTAAATTAAATATTTACAAAATAATAAGAAATTAAAATAGAAGTACAAGAGAAAAAGTAAATAAACAATATACTAATGTAAATAAGCATAGGTGATAAATGTCCAAAGGGGGAAATGATCATGGAAGAGTAGATTCTGAAAGTAAACAAAACAACCAAGCAAACAATGGAACTAGGCTGGAAAATTTCCTAGAACATACCCCGGTGAATTGATCAATTCGGAAGAGTAAAAGTAAATCTATAGTTTCCGAGTTAATTGACCTATTTTAACTATGGTGATTCTTTCGTGTGAATCACTTAAGGGCACGATTCTTTCAGATGAATTGATTCTTGATTCACCTTCCCTTCTTTAATGGAGACTAACCAGCATCCTAGAAAGAATTATTGAAAGATTTGAGAGAAAAAACCTCTGGATGATAACACATGGAGGAGAAAGACCAATAAAGAACTGCTGATTGAAACTGTTCAAGTAACGTATACAAGTAAGATGATATGGAGGTAAGATGTGGCATCCTTACACAACAATGAATGCCTCAGTAGTAGATAAGGGACTAAGTGAAAGGCGAAAAACCAGGTGGGTAGATGAATCAACAAAGATGCTCTAGAGTTGCATACAGATAGCTGAAAAAAAAATAGCCCAAGATAGGCAGAAATGGAGAAGACTGCTTAAGCCAGCAAAGACCTATGAGATAAGGACTGATATGCCAATCAAAAAAAAAAAAAATCTCTTAAAGTTGTCACTTAATATAATTTAGAATTTCGATAATCTAAAAAAAAAACTATCTGAGATTTTTTTTAGAATGTTTATTATTCAGACATGGATTGGTTTAATTCAAACCAAATTTCCAGAAATTGGTGAAAAGATGGGATTATGAGTAAATAAAATCTAAATGTTAAACAGGTTATATCTCTTCATTTCATAAGTTTTTTTTTTTGTTTGTTTGTTTTGTCCTTCCTTTCCTCACCTTTAAGGCTATACGGGGTTTTTCTCGGGCCAGAGGGTGAGGGCGGGAATTCAAAAGATTCCCCGGGACCGGGACGCGAACTCGTGACTCTTTTTTTTATCACAACTCGTGACTCTTATATATCAGGTTGCCGGGCAACAGCGGCAGTGCACAAGCGTTAGCCCATTCGGCTACCCCGTCCACCTTCTTCATTTCATATTGTATCATAAATGATAATGCCTGACATTATGCTTTAAAAAAAAATTAAACTACGCTAAGTATACAAACAAAAAGTTATATTTTTCCCATTACCAACAGATTTTTTTTTTAAGTTAGATACCTTTATAAGAGGGAAATTTTTGTAAAACAACTTACAGTTTAAACAAAAATTACTAAGAAGATCATATCTACCTAAACCTCAAAATTTTTCAGTTCAGAAATTAAAGAAAGAGTTACTCTTTGAAAAAAGTGAAATGGAAAAAGTTACTGTTTTAAATAAAATGTTTTTGATTCCATAAAACTGTTTAATAAGACCAAAAAGGAACATTTTGTGTGAAACAAGCAATCTAATTTTACACAAAAAAATTTGAAGTAGGAATATAAGGACTGAAATTTAAAAATATAACAATAAATAGAAGTGAAATTGATTGGGGTGTACAGTCAAAATACAAAGTAAAATTAAATAAATGATATTTATTTATTTTTACTTTGTATTTTGACTGAACACTCTAACCAACTTCTCTTCAATTATTCACTACAGTAAACCATCAATCCACTATTATAAGAATAATATTTTGTTTAAATGCAACACTTATTATTGATAAATCTAAAAGTATATTTAAAATTTAAACATTAGATTTTTTCCTTATAAACAAGTCAATAAAAATTTATATATTCTCATCACAGATTATCTTATTTATATTAAACATGATTTATAGATTATTTCTTAAAACAAACAACAATAGTAAACAAGTCAGTATTAACATGCAAAAGTAATAAATAGTTAACAATTATTTGCATGATTGTATAAAAGTAATGAAATAATCAACACCCAACATGTGTAGGTAGTAAAAAAAGAAAACAAATTTGTACTATAGAAAGTTAAAATACTCTCTTCGTAATACTAAGGTAACATTGAACCGTTTGTGAATCATTCAAAAGTAATCGGGATTGATGTGTAAGGCAAAAGAGGGCTCACAGATTCAACTTGAAGGGCAGTGGCCATACAATCACTTGCTCTTGAATAATCACAAAGAGATTCCAAAACTTTTCCAAGATTGTACCTAAAATTAAAAATTATATGAAAATATATGTTAATTGTACATTCAACTATAATTTTCCTAAACACAACTATTTATTTTAACCAAGTGTTTGAGAGCAAGAATACTTTTTTAAAACGAAAGCTGTTTTAATTAATCATTAAAATTATGTGTAGTTGATAATTTATCACAAAAAAACTCTTTAAGAATCTGAAGACAAAGTGGGTTATTAGTATCTGCTCTAATTCAACATAATGATAGTTTCAGTAAGCCATAAATCTTATCTTATCATAAACCTCTGAATAAGATGTTACCCACCTATGGATAACAAATTTTTATTTTGTATTATATATGAAGTCAGAACATCATAAGATATTTTAGATAACAAGATATTCATAGCCCATTTTCAAAAATAAAACAACCTTTGAAGCAACTTTCCAGAAAAGAATTTGTTCAACTATTTATTAACTGAGAAAACAAATGTATTCTACTCAAGACATTTATTGAATTTGTTTTATATTTTCAAAATTTTAATAGAAATGAAAAATGAATCTACACTATTCAATGACAGACTAAACACAAACTCAAGATTATATCATCGCTCTGAGGACAATCATAGGTAGGGGATGGGCTGTTCCAGGTGGAAGGGATTCCACCATTATAACAGAACAAGACCATAGGTGATTTTGTTGTAATCTAAGATCAGAAAAAGAACATATTTAGGTTTTGATGTCTAAGAGGTTGAGAGAGTACTCAAAAATAGTACAGAAATGATTTAGCAATTAAGGAGAGCAGGTTGCCACAGAAGTGGATTAGTAGAATTATGGAATGGAACACAACCACTTCAAAAATGAATGCTAATGACTATATTTAATTTAGTCTTCTTACATCAGATCAAATTAGATTAAAACATAATCTAATTGAATCATGAATTTAATGCATAAATTAATTCATTTTAAAAACTCAGATCAACAAGAAAAAACATAATTACATTTACCAAACGAGTGACCAATGAGAATAAACGGAATGGAAATAAAAAGGAAGAGCGGTCAAGGAATTTGTTTCGGAATGGAATGGAACGGAAGAGCGGTTTTGGATTGAAATGGAATGGAATTAGAATTGGTTCCACGAAAATATTCCATTTGGAATGGAATTTGTGGCCTCATTCAGCTAAGTACCCATTCAGGTGAATTATTTCCTTTGATTCCGGACTAACTTTTGGTGAATGTTACTCTCGGTCTCTCTTCAATGTTTCTAAAAATCCATTTATTATTATTTTATTTTTGTTCTGAACATCCCCCATTTATCTTCATTTTCTTCTGCCTCGATGATTTTTCTGTATTTTTTAATACTTATTTAAGATTACAATTTTTATTTCTTATGCTACCTTATATTTTATTATGCTTATTTCATTGGTCCGTGCTTTGTTACAGTTATTATTATTTATGAAGAGAAGAATAGTTGGGGTGGTCAGTCAAAAAAGAAGGCAAAAAATAAATGATAACATTTATTTTTACATATGCCGACGTTTCGACCTGAAGTTCAGGCCTTCATCAGGGCTAAGAAAATAACCAGATAACAAGGTATGAGAAACATAAGTAGTGATGGTAAAAAAAATAAATAAATAAAAAATTATAAAAATAAAAAAAATAAATATAAAGTAAAATGAAATTGTTAGAATAATGACAATAGTAAGAACTAAGAGATAAATAATAATAACCGTTACAAAGTGTGGAATGATGAAGTAGGCATAATCAAAAAGGGTGACATAAGTGTTAAAATGGGAATCTTAGAATTAAATGTAAAACATAAAAAAGAAATATGAAGTTATATAAGAAATGAAAATAAATAGTAAAATTAAGACATTGAGAATGGAGTAGTTAGATAGAAAATAGAGATATTGTAAAGTCTATCAAGATGTACAGACAATGTATAATATAATAAAGAGTTAAAAACAGAGAAAAGGAATGAAAGGAAGGAGGGAAGAAATTGAGAAAGCTGAAATAAGAAAGAAATAAAAGAAGTACTACCTGTCTCCATAAGTGTTGCAGGGAGAATAAAAGTCGTTGCAAGGGAGGGGGAGAGAGAAGAGATGTGTATGTGGCGTCATCTCTAACGGTTATCCGACGAAGTTAGAACTAAAGCACCGGAAGCGTAAATAGGGACGAGAGATATATTACTCAGAAATATTATGGAAAATTTAACAAAAGTTAATAGAAAGTGGATGAAAAATTCAAAACAAAAATAGCTGTTGAGTAATAAGGGAGAATAATTGAAATAAAAAAATATCATATATATATATATAAATATACATACATACATACACACGCCCACACACACATATATATATATATATATATATATATATATACATATACATATACATACATACATATATACATACACACACACATACATTTATACACACACACCTATATATATATATATATATATATATACATATACACACACACATATATATATATATATACATATACACACACACATATATATATATATATACATATACACACACACACACACATATATATATATATATATATATATATATATATAAGGAAGTTGTCAGCAAAAAGGAAAGGAATATAACTATGGATGTTTTAATAAATTCAGAATTTGGGAGTAGGCTAAAGAAAAGTTCTGTTTGTCAGTTTTTAGATTCACTGTCTTTGGTTGAAGCTGGATGTGGAGGGTTTCAGAACTGAGTCGTTTGTCATAGTTGAGAACTGTGGCAAACCATGACAAACGACTCATTTCTGAAACACTTTACTTTATATTTATTTATTTTTTTTTTTTTTTATAATTTTTTTTTTTTACCATCACTACTTATGTTTCTCATACCTTGTTATCTGGTTATTTTCTTAGCCCTGATGAAGGCCTGAACTTCAGGTCGAAACGTTGGCATATATAAAAATAAATATTATCATTTATTTTTTGCCTTCTTTTTTGACTGACCACCCCAACTATTCTCCTCTTCATTATCCACGACAGTCAACCATTTACCAATTATTATTATTTATTTATTAGTTCTCTGTTACTGTTATAATACTACCTACATTGTTTTACTTTAATGTTCATTCTATCCACTTCATTTTACGTTAAGTTGTTCTACTAAAAACTATTAGTCTATACCTATCACCTTTTTTAATCTTAATTCTGTATTATTCAATGGTATTATACCTATTGTTATCTGGTTCTTTTCCTAGGCCTGATGAAGGCCTGAACTTCGGACGGAAATGTCGGTGAATGTAAAAATAAATAAAATTATTTATTTTTTACCATTTCAATTTGACTGATCACCCCAAACATCCTCCACTTCATTTAATACTTATAGTATTATGCATCTGCTTCTATATTCTCTATCTCATTCCAAGTGTTGTTCAGAATGAACATGGATTGGAACAAGAACTGGAATGAATTTCAGTAATAAAATGTTTCAATCTGACCTACAGTCGGAATTGCCCATCCCTAATTACAGGATAAGCATGTGAGAATATTGCCTTGTTGCATTGTTGTAGGTATTGATTTTTCATGCATACACGTAGGTATTGAATTTTCATGCATACACTTTAAAAAAAAAACACTCAAATATTATTGGTAGTAAATAAACAAATACAAACATCAAGTATGTATAAATATGTATTACCATGTTTTTGGTGAGTGGGGATCAATTCTTGCAGCATCCCTTAAAACCTTTTCAGCCATCCTTTGATTGCCTAAGTAATGGTACATTAAACCCTAAAAAAATTAAATTGTGATCAAAATAACTTAAATATCTTCAGCTCACATATATATATATATAATCTAAATTTAATATCTTTAATATATATACCAAATGCTGTAGACTTTTGATATGAGATGGGTTAATTGACACAGCATTTTGAAAACATTGTCTAGCTTCAATGAATTCTCTTTTTTGTTCATGAACAAGGCCTCTCTGCAACATAAGTAAATAGTTACTTATTAAACATGCATAATTTTAACAAAATCATACTTATACATCATGTCATAGTTAACGAACCGTGAACATTATGTGATGAGAAAGTGGATAAATGCTAGCTGCCTCCTGAATACAATTGGCGGCAGAAGGTATTTGATCCATTGAAAGGTAAAGTTCAGCAAGAAGGAGCCAAATTTGTAACTGTAAAAGCCAAGCCCGCTGGGGTCCAGGCTTTGGCGTGAATGTTGAAAGAGATGATGCTACTTCAGAAAGTGCCTGCTCTACTCTTGAAGCAGCTAATGAGTGAGCATGGAGAGAACCTGCAACATTTTTTTTAAGTCTGGTGCACAGTTAAACTTTTAAGTCCCTTGTCTCCAAATTTGAGTGAATTTTTATTACTATACATTCCACATTTAGCAATAAAACAGCAATATTTACGATTTTGGTCTCATTTAACAAATTCCAAGGTCCTGTGTCTCATATACCACCGACAATCATTGCCTCCAAACCTTCTTGTAATCAATAACTAAATATACAAAATTAGTCTTAGACTCACTCCCCCCTCCAGTTGAATAATTTTTCATTGGGACTAATACTTTATACAACTCTTTATTTTTTAAAATCTCTATGGAAAGTAGTTATGTACATGCCTAGGTCTGCAAGGGCAGGATGCAGTTTTACCCTAAAGTTTTCCAAATTATTATAGCCCCCGTGAATTCGTCAATGTTTAATTCTTAGGATTGCCATGAAATAAAATTAAAGCCCTTTTCCCAAGTCATAATCAAAGTAGCACAGTTTCTGATGAGAGAAACTATCCACAGATATACTCAAACACCATGACTCATTTGACATTTTAACACAATTGTATCAGCTATGAAGGGTATGTTACTTATTGGTGAGCAATCTATTTGGGTCTGAGTGAAAAGGTAGAGATTTTTCGAGGGTCCGTCACAGAATCTTAACCTTTTAAGGAAGGATTCAAATTGGTACCTTATTCACAGATGGTTAAATAAATTTTGTATTCTCCAAATAGTTTTTTTAATACTCACTAGAATCTTTATCAGACATCTCAGAAGTATACAATTGAAAAACGCTCTTATTATCAGAATTATCAACTACAGTTTGGTCTTCATATATATTCTTCCAAATTACTAACATATTTTTTGCAGTTAATAAGGCAACCTAGAAAAGATATTAAAAAAAAAATAAGAATATAATGATAACCATATCAGATCATATAACTGAAGTGATAATTTCAAAAATTAGCTAATGAGTGCCCTTTAGATTTTCATAAGTACTGACTGATTAAATAATAATTTTCTAACTATAAATTCTTGAAATTACCTCTTATAAATACAATGTTAATAACATCCATTCTTTATAAATTAATAATGGTGTCAATACCTGAATGTACTATAAAAATATTTAATATCAAAATATAAATCAGGTAATTGAAAGTTTAGGCACTAAACATCATACAACATTTGTTTGATATCAATCAATCTAATGTTTATATATAGTGTAACTAACCAAAATGCATTACATTCACTTTGAAATTAGATATATAATTTAATATAAAAATAAAATAATCTAAATTTAATGCTACTAACAAGAAATACCAATTACAACATTCATTAGACATTAGGATAAAACTTGAAAAATATGATATTTAGAAAAATGACTTATAAAGAAGGTCATTCTATTTCTTGTGTTGACCTTATCAATTCAAAGTGAAACAACCTTTCACTATTTTAACCCATTCTGTGCCAAGACATTTTTTTGTATGTCAATTCTGTGTTAGCAAATGTAAAATGTACAGTTTGGAAAAATCTTACCAGTTTCTAATTGTTTAAGAAAAAAAATATAATCCATCATTTTATTTTCAGGTACCATCATTGTTTGGAGAAGAATAATTCTATTTTTGTGCTCATTGATACAACATCTACATCCTGAAAAATAGGAAATATTTTTTTTTTATCCCCTAGCTTACCTTTTGGCTATCTAGGGGTTTTCCAGGCCAAGGAAGAGGGTGGAGAATAATATCAGAGTTAAAAGCCCTAAGCATTGGAACTCAAACTCCTAATCGTCAGATCATCAAGTTGCCGAGCAATGTGTTTTGCACATCTATTAGCCTGTTGGTCCATTCTACCTCCATTTCATAACCATAGAAGATAAAATAGATTAGAAGAGCACCATATCGTTAGGTAGCACCATCATCCTTTACCCACTCTCCAGTCACCTTTATTAATTTGTTCAGTCCCTTTAATGGAGCTGGGCCTCAGAAATAAGCTTCCGTCAGGCTTCCCTATTGGAAGCTATTCTTCTCCATCTTGTTTTACCCATACGGCTGAGGTCTTCTACATTGTAGAAGTTTCCTAAGCAACCTATCCTCCCTCATTCTTTCTACATGGCCTAGGCATCTGAGGCGTCACCTTTTGACAATGAATACAATATCATCATTATTATACAGTTCAGGACATAAAACATTTAGTGCCAGCTGTATTTCTGGCCTTTATTTCAGCCTGAATATTGTCCTCCTTAGGCACTATCACTCCAAGGTATTGGAATTCTGTTTCCATTGAGAAAAGGTGCTGATTAATTTGTACACATTCATGTATAGCAACATTATTCCTTGAGGACTTCATGTACAGACTTTTCCCTTTTTTTTCCTGATATAAGAATGCATCACGTCCTCATAGAGGCCTACTGTGTGTTGTCCTAAAACAATATTAAAACAGGCTAGATGTTTTTGTGAACTTGCTAAGACTAATAGGATCTATTAATTCGCAGCGCTTAGGGTCAGTGATACGATCGCATCCAAAGTGAAAGTATCGCAGTCTAGCCAAATTATCACATTTGCATATTATATGATAGGCTGTTTCATTCTCCAAGCCACACAGCCTGCAGGTGGGAGGCTCACTTAAGCCCAACTTAAAGAGGTGCTTATTGAGTTCACAGTGACCAGTATAGTTCTGTCACACAACTAATGGTGCTCCTGTCCATTAAAAGAAGTGATCCACTTCTCTTGTGACAGGGTCCTACAAGTAACAACTTAGAGTTAGTTTGTTTCCTAATTTGTTACCAATAAAGCCTAGTTTTGTGTGTTTTACTTTCATTTATCCCCAGGCTAAGTTACATTGCTGTCATTTCGAATTCCTCGATCGATCCCGCAAAGGCCGACAATGTGTAAATACTGATGAGAATATCGTCAGCATACGCAAGGCATTGAGGAAGTCGATTGAATATAGTCCCTCTAGAATTGGTCCTTATTCCTCTAACAGCCCGCTCCAGGACTAGATTAAAGAGGACTGGCGATATAGTATATAAAGACCTTTTAATTGCTATTAGTAAGAGGCTAACATCATGGGGAGAAAGAATTAACAGAGACTATCACTGTGGTTTTAAGAAAAATAGATCAACAGTGGATCACATCTTTGCTGTAAAACAAATGTTAGAGAAAACATACGAACATACCATGGATCTGCGCCATGTCTTTATAGATTTTAAGTAGGTGTATGATTCTGTAGACAGAAAGGAATTACAGAAAGCTATGAGAATTCTTGAAAAATTGATTGTCTTGGCAGAGATAATGCTAAGAGATACCAATTGTAAAGTCATGATGCAGAGAGATTGGCAGCAGCGCTATTCCTCTGTAATTATCACAATTCAACTTGTCTCCAAAGACCTTTTTAAAAATAGGATATAGAAACAGTAGTGTGCCATAAATAATTCTAAACAACCACTTATTGTTATTTTATTCTCTTGTACAACACCAAACTATTAGATAATTGTAGACAAATAAGGGTTTTCCTAAAAGGTTTGGAAGAAAATTTCTTTACTTAGGAAATAAAAGCAAATGAGAAAAGAATAAATACAAAGTAAAAAAAATTATTTTCTTGAATAATTGATTTTATGGTAATATATACATAGACACATTATATTTTATCTAAAAGATAAATAAAATATTTATATTAACATTATTTAAATCTATAAATTTCTTTTTTTATACTTGTATACTTAAAAGTCTTACATATAGCTCACACAAGGGTTGTAACAATGGCAACCCAACAAAAAAACTGTTGAGTCAATGGCACGGAATGGGTTAATCGTTTAACATGAAATGCACTGACATGAGTTCTCAATCCTTTGCCTAAGACATCAAAGTGCCAATATTACCTTCCAAACCAAATCATTCCTGTCAGCACAATCCATAACTTTTCAATCAAAAATAAATTAATTAATTATATCCGATTATTTAACGTTCTAACAATATATTTTTTCAATCTTCATTTGTATTTTGTTTTTATCTTTTTTTAAATCTTCATTTTTTGAATATAATTATATGTTTGGAATTATTTGTTTAATCTTTGTATATTATGAATAATAATAACAATATCCAACTATCAATTAAGCTGAAAAAATAAATAGTGTTCATCACTAGACTGATATTCTACAGTGTGGCTGGAAGTAAAAAAGGTTGGGAACTCGTGCACTAATTTTCCTAAATATTTACCTCTGGTCCTTGAATGTGCAGTTCCAAATGAGCCTTGACATAATGAAGGTCCAAACTATCAGGGAAATCACTAATAGCAGTTTGTAAAAGAGAATGGGCTTCAATGTACTGCCTTTGGGCTGTCAGCAAGAGAAGCATCAAATGGAGAGAAGGAGCATGTTCAGGGCATAGTTTTAAGCTTGACTTAACATGTGATACTGCCTCAGCTGTCTGCCCATTACAAGCATAGCTTATTGCAAGGTAATATTCAACCAAATGATCATTAGGGTCAAGCTGCATTGCTCTGTACAAAAATAAAAAAGGACGAAATTTAACACAGAACAAAAAAGATGGCTTTGCACAAATACATTACTGTAATAAAAAAAGAAGAAAAAAAGAAGTAATTGGGGAAATGTAATTAGCTAAAAAAGAGATTTCTTGCTAGACTTAAAATAAAGATATTTTATTTCTTTGTTTATAGAGGCTTCAATCTTGTATTTTATTGCCAGTATTAATTCTTTAAGTGAGAGGAAATATCTTTAATTAAACTCTTGATAGCAATTTTATTAATTAATACATTATTGAAGTTACAATTTTAGGGCTTTTTATATTATAAAAGAGGAATGTTAGAAGTCTCCTCTAACCTTATTAAAAAATATGAAAACAGGAACATCAGTTAAGACAGAGTTGGGAATAAGAAATTCTTTGACTTGAACAATGTAGTGTGTACAAGTAACAGAAACAGATTAATGCCAATCCGCTAGTGTTGGTGTTGGTGAGGGACGGAGAAAATGAACTGATTCCTTGGATGCAAACATAACAATGATTATAAACAAATCAATTAGCCTTATTTGAAAAAAAAAAAAAAAAAAACCTGTACCACTACAACACATGAAGGGTCTTGGGTTCAGTACTTTGTGAGGAAATACTGCTTCTGGACAAGGGTCGTATAAGGAAGTGATTTGACCAAGGTCTACCAGGTTTTCTCCCTTAATTAATTATGGGTACCCACTTTTAGAAACTGGATGTGCCCCAAGAGAGTCTCTAATGGCGATCCATGGCCGATGAAACAGAATAAGTAATTTACCTGCCATCTGCCGAATTCGAACCTTGAATCTTGAGTAATAAAAAAAAAAAAAGAAAAACTGAATAACAAATAGCTAAATGTAGAGTATAGCATAAATTTGTTAATAAACAAAAAGACAGAATAAGAGGAGATTAAGTTAATTATAGTATATCAAAGACGGATCGAGGAGACACTGAAAATGACATTTGGAGAATTAACAGTATAATTTAAACACCAATTTTCAAATGCAACTCATTCCAAACCCTTTGCATGAAAACATTGTTTTTGAATTAGTCTTCTGAGCCTTGATAGAACCATAAAGCTCCTAAAAAAGGCTCTCCTCATTAAATGGTCAACCCTTTTGTTTTGAACTTCATTATGAACATCAAAAGGTTTGAAATGGAGATAAAGGAAAAATAGCTCTGTATTTTATGTTTCTTTTCCATGGGCAGCTACAATTAAAGCTCTTCACTCTATCAGACAGGCCTGAACTAAAATCAAATAAAAGCTCCTCGCTTTATCAGATGGACCCGAACTAAAATCAAATACTGTCACATTTTCTTCAATCATATGAGGGATCTGCAAGAAAGTCCCGTAAACAATGCAAATAATGCTATAAAAACCTGTCTAAGAAAAACGTCAGAGATTATGCCACTAAAAAAATAACAAGAATTAGGACATACTTTAGGGTCAGACAGTACTTTGCTTAAAATGGTTAAAAAAAGTACACAAAAATAAATAAATAATGAAGTTATACATAATATAATATTGAATTTTTATATTTATTTTATTTAATTTAAGTTATATTTATAATATTGAATTATTATGTTTATGTTATTGAATTAAACTTATGTTTGTGTTATTGAATTAAAGTTATGTTTATTAAAAAAAATCTTTTCAATTAATATACATTAAATTTTCATTTTTTTAATTTTCCACTATATTGCATTCATTTCTAGTTTCCTAGCGATCTAAATATTTGGTGTTACACACCCTCTGATAGTGAAATCAAATGACAGCTACCAATGTTATAAGCTACCTGATGAGGTAGTCTGGTAGTCACTGATGGTACATGTTGTCCAATGAGGCAGCCTTTGTGAGCCACTTGTGACATACAGTTATAAACGTTTTAAACAAGAATTCTTAGACCCATATGTTTTCTTTCTGTTCATAGTTATAAGAAAAGATAGTAAAGATAAGTTTTAAAAAAGATAGTAAATTTTATTCTATATAATTTTAAATTTAGTCACCTAAGCATAATAGAAATATATTATTACAGTTTCATTTGTCAGATACAATAATTACAAAATAATTAAACTAAGAAATAATGAAATAAAAATTGAAGATAAGCATAAATGAATAAAAGATAAATAAAAGTGAGTATATTTCTAATTTTCAGTTGCAAGTAATATTAATGATAACATAAAACATTATATATCCAGAAAATTGATTGTTGAGATGAAGAAATAATTGCTATTAAAATAAAGTTAAAGATGAAGATTTATGTATGTAGGTGTGCAAGAAATTCCAAAATAAGGTACCAGACAGAATAAAGGGCTTTTTGAATAAATTAGCTCTGTGAGAATAGGTTTGTGGGCTATGATCTCATGATTAAAAAGTAGACAGAAAAACAAGGGATGAAAAAATCAAGAATGTAAGAAGACCTTCTGGTTTTTTAATTACCAATAAAGGTCTAGGTCTAGGAAATATATACAGCCGTTTAAACACAGGATTAATCCACTTCAATTCAGTATACCAACTGGAGACATAGGAGCATTTGGGGACTATATAGAAGATAAACATAATAGAACAATTCATCAGTTTCATTTGACCAGAAAGTCTACCCTATACAAGAGAACCATAATTAAAGAGAAGGAAAAAGGAGAGGAGGAGATAAGAATTGACAGGTATAGAACCATAGAATCTTAGGAACTGTTTTCAGGTAATTTTCATGTAATTCAAGAAATATCGTTATTCTAAGATAGAAATTGATATAAAATTACCACAAGGTTTCTAACGTAAATGCGGAAGCAAATAGGAAGGCCATTAAGGTAGAGTAAGGGATAATAAGAAAGGAAATTAAGAAGATGCTTAGAACTAATGAGAATGGCCTTGGTCTTCCAGCATTCAACCTCAAATCATTTGCCCATGAATGTCTATATCTTATTTCAGCTTTTAAGGTGCCCCAAGCATCTAAGAAGGATGAAAGCATTGATAAATTTGCAGTTCATCATCAAATAATTAGTAGTTTAAATAGTGAATGGAATCAGGACAATCATGAAAATAAATAGAGAAAAGGGTTGGTAAAAGTAAAGATCCCTGAGTTAGTAAGAGAGCGAAGAGGTAACAATGATAGGAATAGCTTTAAAACATTCTTTGATATGGAAAGGTTTTGGAATTTTGAAAGGAGTATTTAAGTTTTCAGAACTGTAGTTTTTGAAAATGATGTCCATTTTGAGATTAGGTCACTTTGTTTTGACTTATTAGAGTTTTCCGGATTTCTTTCTTACGAGGGTCTATTCATATGTTTTTGGAGCAGAAGTTTTTTTAAAATGATGTCCATTTTGAGATTACGCCACTATGTTTTGATTTATTTGTGTTTTCCGGATTTCTTTCTTATGAGGGTCAATTTATATGTTTTTGGAGCTGAACTTTTCAAAAATGGTGTCCATTTTGTGATTACACCACCGTTTCAACGTATTTAAGTTTTTCGGATAATTCCCATATAATGGTCTATTTATGTTTTAACAGCTGTAGATTTTGGAAATAATTTCCATTTTATGACTATGCCACTGAGTTTCATACAAAAGTGCAGGAAAAAGAAAAGAACAAAATTAAGAAATATTAGGTAAAAGCCTTATGTGGGCGGTTTAATCTCGATGGAATAGTGTTTATGAATCCATGCCACAAATTTTAAATGTAAAAGATAGAGTTAGTTTTTTTTTTTTTTAATCAGCATATATGAATTCACAAATAATCAGGAATGTGGAATTCTCAAATGATCTTGAGATCATAACTTCTTTTCTAATAAACATGATGATCTAACTATATTCAATAATCTGGCGCCGAGTACCAAGTCTGCTCCAGAGGAACTACAAGATGAAGAGCTGGGACTTCAAAAGAGAGGAAAACCAAGGAGTCCCCCTCTTCTACAAGGAGTGCATCGAGGTCAGGGTCGAGACCGTCGGCCGTGTCAGGAGGTGGGGCTAAGCCAAAGGATCCAGTGAAAACTAATCCCTGCCACTTTCACGTGCTGTGGGTCAGACCTCGGCCTCGGAGCACTCCTCAAAACCGGGCTAAGGATCAAAAGCGAGGTCGAGTGGTGGGGAGAAATCAAAAGACAAAGAGAAAACTGAATCTGATAGTGGAACCCTAACATCGGCTTTGTCTGGAAAACCATCCCCCCAGAAATAACATCTAAAAATTATGAAACTGCTACAGATCAATATCCACCACCGCATTGCAGCTAGTGGTGTATTGCAACCGTACATAAAAGGTAAGAATATAGATACTATTCTAATACTTGAAGAAAGGATCAGGGGATTGGCCATGCCTGGGTACGGAATTATTTCTGTACCCACATACCACAGGACTTGTCTACTATACAAGAATAAACTAAAACTGCTGCCTCTATTGCAATTCTGTTCTAGAGATCTTGCAGCAGCTAAATACACCCACCAAGAGGACAGTAAATCCATAATCATAGCAGTGTATCTGCCATATGAAAATCTAGAACCTGCAGAGGGAATCCTAAGCTGCAGTGATGACATCATAGCTGCCCTGGATGCCAAGGCACATAAAGAGACCTGGGGGAGCTCGAACACCAACTCTAGAGGTGAGAAACTCTTGGAGGCTATAATTAAATATGATCTTGACATTCTAAATAGATATATCTGACAGAACACAACATGATGTGGAATATAGAGATCCCAAATGTACAGACTGGGTTTCCTATAACGACTTTTTATAATAAGGTTATGATCGGAGATCATAGACATAACACTAGTGACTCAAACAATTAATGTCCTCATATATAACTGGTATGTTTCTGATGAAGAAACATGCTGGGATCACAGGTATATCAGATTTGATATATCTGACAGAATAAAACATGATATGGAATATAGAGATCCCAAATGTACAGACTGCGTTTCCTATAGCACCAATTTGGAGGTGGCTGTTAAATGCTGCTCCAAAGCTATCCACAGTGCATGGCAACTAGAATGTCTCAACATTGC